AATTTCCCAATTCCCTAATTTCCCAATTCCCTAATTTCCTAATTTCCTAACTTCCTGAATACCTAAATTCCTACATTCTCTAATTCCTAATTATCTTCATTTTTTCAACTCTTGAATTTCTAAATTCCCGAATTTCTAGATAATTGAATATCAGAATTCCTAAGTCTAAATCTTAATTTGGAATTTTTGAAATTTCTAAATTCGACAATTTTCTTATTTTAAGTCATAAAATTTGAAAGTTCACAAATTCGATAACTTCATAATCACTTTACTTAAAGTTTATTTCTTTAAATAACATTTCTGCAAGCAATAAATGATAGCTGAATCCTCTGCATGTCATACAGGATGGCCTTGTATGAACATCGTCAAGGTCTAGATCAAGATTCTTGTAGGTAACTCCTCTAAAGACTAAGGTCATTGTAGGTAGCTCCCCTAAACAACATTTTTCCTAAAACTAGTATTATAATTTACATATTAAAATTTGCATAATTCTTTAACTACATCTATACAGCGATATAGACTGACCTATTTCTACAAATTAATTCATCAAACTTTCTATTATCAGATTACACACAAACTTTGATTTTGACAAATCTTCTTTGTTATTAATACCTGAATGAATAATGAGTGACAACTAAAATCTTTAGCAATTTATTCCGGGAAATAACCTTGAAAACACATCAACAACTGATATGTTTATATTTAAAAATTACAATTTTGTTTATACTGGGCTGGCCAAAAAGTTATATCATTTTTATCAGTAGTTGACATTCATTCAATTTGTGTGTCGACACTTCATTTTTTCAACAAATGCATACATGGCCTTGAAGCTTACATTTCAGGGTATCTTATTTAAAAAAGAGTGCCGAGTACAATGGAGTGTTTCATCTGTTACAAATAGTTAAAAACGGAAGACACAAAGTCTGGTTTTGGAAATATTATATCATTTTCAAAAAGGTAGAACATTGTTTAAATTGGAAAAAGACATGAATAGTGTACGTGAGATGGTACTAAATGATTGCAAAAGTTTTGGTTTTGCGAAATTTTTTGTTGAAAATATTTCTACGAATAATGATCCATGTTCTAGGAGAGCAAGCACTGTTAGATGATCAATAATGATTAAATGGAAGTCTTGATCAGCAATAATTCTGCTTACACATTGAAAAAACAATTCGTTGTATAATAAGATTTCAGTTGCACATGTTAGATTTGTAGTAGAATATCTTTTCAAAAAGCAACAAAATTTTTTATTCAACCAGATATATTAAAGTCCACGTTATTAGTGCTTCCTTTTTACCAATATTTAGTGTAATAACTTTCACCCCAGGCTCTGATAACTTCAACGACAGCCCTGTATATAAGTACTGAAGCACAATACAACTCAATATGTATGTGCTTACATATAACACATGTATACTCAGGAAGTGTGTCCTCTCACGCGAATACTCCATGCATAAAGCGGACATTAATAAACACTCTTATGCAATTAGGAATATCAGCCTTAATACGCATATACAAATCGTTCTGCTTTTATTTTTACAAAGTATGTGATAAGGAGAATGATGCAAAGGGAACACGACTTCATAAAGTTACGTGCACTGTTTTTCAATAGTGAATGATAACAAAAACTTCTAGTACAAAAATGGAGAGCTGCGATGTTTTCAGTAATCTAAAAAGGGTAGATAACTTCTGAGTTAGCGCTTATCGACCTTGAAAAAGCAAATGTAGACTACACATTACAGTTATGAAATTGTTATAAAACTATAGTCGTTACAATATAGTGAGGTCATAAAATTTTTCAATACATAAACAAAGAAAATTATTCAACTGTTTACTCATTTATTCATTACAGTTTTAAAGAGCAAAAATAGGTTTAATATCGTCCTCTTGAATTATAAAAAATATATTATTTGCAATGAATAAATGTTTATATTTCAGGTAAATTTGGAATCAGACATTTGCAGACATTCCTGCTGTTTTTGGGGATGGCTTTTGGATACTGTCTTCGAGTGAGCATATCGGAAGCCATCGTCCCAATGGCGAAAAATGATAGTTCTCAAGGGGAGGTAAATTACTATAAGATTAATATTTTAAAATAATGGATCATTCTTCACAACTTTCCTTAGCGCGAGAGGGTGCACAGATTAAAAATTTTCATGAATATCATTAACCTTCAAAAGTAATGTTTAAATAAAATTATTTTTATAAGAAGATCAATTCGTTACTAAAATCGAACAATTCCAAGTTCTTTCCAGAGCAGAGGCGATATTATCAATAAATTAAAATAGAAATTGTTTGCTATAGCACCCTCTCTACATCCGTCACTGTAGAGTGTACAATTCTCTTGTGTAAAGCTCTCATTGAGTTCAAACTTCACACAGTTACATCTTTAAATTAATGCAAACAATATTAACTTCACAACATCAATTTTAAATAATTATTATTGTTCTTAATATCAATTTTAAACACCGCTTATTGTTTTTCTTAACAGCAATATTATAGAATTTGTATTATTGTTGCTTAGGTGTATAATTGGGGTCCATCAGAAAAGTCTATGATCCTAAGTTCCTTCTTTTGGGGTTACACGGTAATTCAAGTACCAAGTGGATATATAGCGTCTGTTTGGAGTGGTCAAAAATTGCTTTGCATCGGGGTGTTTGTTTGTGCAATTTTGAACGCGTTAATACCCACTGTTGCTCGGTATGGAGGTTACATCGCAGTCTGCATTTGTAGGGTCGGTATGGGTCTTTGTCAAGGTTGCCTTTTACCTTGCACTCATACGCTCCTCTCAAAATGGGCACCTCCAAACGAACGATCGAGACTTGGTAAGAAATCCTCCATATCAATATTTTCATACTTAATAATTTATATTATAAATTTTTTATAAAACAGTTCTTTGAATAAGAGTTTGCGATTAACGACCTAACTCTTTAAGGTCATTTGAAGTACAATAATCGTTGAGAATGTATTATACATATTTCGAATGTCTGTATGTGTTTTTGGCTCTATAGTGTTGAGTCAGAAATACAAGCATTAAAAACAATTCAGTAACCTTCACTTTTTATGGAAGGTCAAAATAATTATAGTCTACTCTTCAGTCCATACGCTTCGAAGTGCAAATTTTCATATCGTCGTGACGGGTCGGATTTCATATACAATGGTTGTTTAGTTTTACTAGAAATTCAAAAATTATATATAAATTATATTCGATAGGCTTTAAAACGTTTTTTTGGCTTACGGTTTCTAGTGTATAATAAGAGCTTTAAATGATGGGCAGATGAAATTGCGGAGGAGCTCACGTGTCTGCACAGTCGGCCATATTGGATCCGCCATTTTCTGGATTTGTAATCAGTGCTCCGAAAACCTCTGGGTACGTATTAGCTCTGAATCTATCGCGCAGATATGAAATTTGTACCTTGAAGCGTATAATTTTGGACATTGCAATTTAAATCTCCATACATCAGATCTTGTGTACATTACAATGTACATAACATAATAAAACTTTTATACTAATAATATTCGCTGTAGATGTCCCAACAACAGCGACAAGCTAAAAACAATTTAGACCAAATCATAAATGTTCTTTTATCATTTTGTAATTCACATTCATTTTCATATGAAATAATTTTAATTGTTTATAATTATTTTTGTGCGTATATTAGATTTTTCAGACACTTTTCCATATACTTAAATGTATCTACCGAGTAGGTTTACAAAAATAAGATAAATAATATTAAGCCGGAATGATATGGAAATGCAGTTACTTATGTACTTATTTGTATATTTATTTATATTTTTTAGGAGCATTTGCTTATGCTGGAGCACAATTTGGTACCGTGATTTCGTTTCCAATTTCTGGACTACTAGCAGGTTCTTCGATTGGCTGGCCCTCCATTTTTTATGTATTTGGTGCTCTAGCCTTCATTTGGAGTATCACGTTTTTCTTTTTCGGCTCTGATAGCCCTGCTCAGGATTCACGAATATCGCAAGAGGAGAAAGAATATATAGAAAGCAGTATACGAAGTGACGAGGGGAAGAAAGCGATACATGATACAGGGGTAAGAATTTGTGTCTTTTTTTATAATGACAATTCAAAATAATTTTTATAATCTTTCTAAGTGTTATTTATCAGTCCTGCTTATAAAATATATGTCTAACTGTAACTAAATAATTTGAATGAGTTATTCGAAAGTTAATTAATACGATTAATTGATAAATTGTTTAGATAAATATATTTATCTTTTAACTAGTCTCACAAGAAAAATTAAAAGGGATAAAATATATGAACAAAAATTTATATAACTTCTATTAGTTTTGAACTTGCAAATTCTTGTTTTAATAAACTAACATCGTTCTATCAGGCTACGATATGTTCTCGATTTTGTAAATTCGCTTATTTTGAGAATTGCATACTGTGGTTTCACAAAATTATTACATTTGTGGTCTTTTATAACTAAATAAATTTAAACAAAATTAGTGTTTCAAATGCCATGCAGTCTTCATATTAAATATTTTAATTTATGGACAATGGACAGTAGTAATAATGAAATTTGTAGATATTACAAGAGTAATAGTTATTATTACTCCATTCTCTTTATAAGTAAAGAGCAAAATTTGGAATTAAATTTCAATGTCATAGTTTTCGTGTATTTTTGAAAAGAACAACTTTGACGATGTGTAGTGTATTGATAATATAACAGGATGTTAATTTGAAAAATGTTGATGTTTGACAAATTTAAACAACTTTTTAATTAATATTAATTGCAAATATTTTTGTACCTACTAAAGAAAAAAGTAACACCATGGAAATCTATCTTCACCTCTGTTCCAATGTGGGCTCTCATAATTGTACACTGTGGACAAAACTGGGGATACTGGACTCTGGTCACGGAATTACCAAATTATATGGACAATGTGTTGAAATATAATTACGAAGAGGTACCTGAAATTTATTTACATATTATTCATCTGATAAAGATATATTACACTGAAAAATTAAACTGAATCTATCTGCTATTATTGTATACAAAAATAATCATTTTCTGCACAATTCATTATGATCTCAAAGACCTTGAAATGTCCTTGACTTCTTCATATACAAAAAGTTTAATCGCTCGAAAAATTGTGCTTTCCAGCACGTTTCAATATTCCAGTCACGTTTAATAATATTTATTAGAAATCTAGTTACAATATTATTGAACGTTGCAAACATATAGAAATTCAAATTGAAAAGAGAATATTAAATTTTACCTTTAATGTCAAATTAAGAAATGAGTTTTATTAAAAAAATAAAATTTGTATCTCTAATAGTATTTTTAATCTTTTGCTATACGTGATATATTTTTGTGCAGAGAAAATTACTGAGAAAATATATTAAAAAATATATGATTCCGTCTAGAAATCGATCGTAACCTTCATATCTCTTCTACGCGTCCATACAGAAGAAAGATTCTTTCGCCACACAATTTGCCACCTGAAATCAAATAACTTTTGTTAAAAACATTTATTTGAGTTATTAATATCTTCTAAAATATTTGAATGGGTCGATTTAAAGAGAACATCCTGTATATTTTACCCGTATTTATAATATCTATTGTTCCAATTTTTTTTAACAGAACGGTCTGTTGTCAGCCTTGCCATATCTGGTGATGTGGATTCTGAGCTTCCCCATGTGTTGGTTGGCCGACTACTCATTAAAGAAGGGTGTTTCAAGAGGGGTGGTGAGAAAAGTTAGCAACACCATAGCCCACTGGGGGCCCGCCATTGCTTTAAGTTGTTTGGCCTCAATGTCGATCCACGACCCCCTCGTGGCTGTCGCCATTTTGGTAGTAGCCGTTGGATTAAATGCTGGATCTTTATGTGGATTCCAAATCAATCACATTGATTTGAGCCCGAATCATGCCGGTACAATGATGTCCATCACAAACTGCATCGCTTCTGTAATCGCGATAATCGCACCTTTAGTCTGCAGTGAAATCGCGTATGAAGAGGTATTTCAGTCATTACTTAAATTATTTAACGATATTTGCTGTTTTTTAATGTTACCGCTTAGTCTATATTATCATATCAAATATAAACATTTTTAAATGATTAGAACACGAAGCTTTGATAAATCTTGAATAATTGAATTTTGAAAAATATAGCAAGAACATTTCTTTGATATTATAGTTATTTTCTTTAAGGTCAGGTTCTAGAAGGTTGCCATGTTCTTTACAATAAGAAATGATGGATATAATAAAAAGGGATGTTCTTAAAAACTACATTGAAATTAGAAATAGAAAATAGAAATTGCAAGAGAGATGTAACTGGTTAGTTTAATCATTTGTGTAACTAAAATATGTGTTTGGGGTGAGCGAAATAACCGTAGTGATAGCGTCACCGAGATTAGATATGACCGAGTTGCTCTTGGAAATTAGAAAATTTTAATATTTCTTAATTCAGAAATTGAAAGTTTTTAATAATTTAGATTTTATAAGTTTTTATAATTTTATTTGGAAACTTTCAGAGTTTAAAAATTTAAACGCTCTAAATATATCAAACTTCAAAAAATTCTAAATTCCTAATATGCGTTATGTGAAGTATCATCCGCTCTATTTCCGCTTACTTCACAATATGGAGGAGTATCAGTTCGTATTTTTAAGACCTAACCTAACCCACTTTGGTTCTTAAATTATTACTTATTGAACTTATGTTGACCTATCTTATAACTCTTATAATCCATTAATCTTACATTTTAATTGATTATCTGTTCAAATATACTTTACATGTATAAACAGTATTCATAATGGTCGCATAATTAATAAGTGACTCATCTCTCAAGAGGCTAACGATAATGTTTACAAAGTTTTACAACATGTACTTAAGAGGGACAGTACTCCCTCCAATTAATGATAATTATTCTACCTATTAATAACATTTATTTTTTCTTTCAGACGAACGCATCACTGTGGAACATAGTGTTTTATTTATCCGCTGCAATTTACGTACTGGGAAACTTAGTTTTCATTATTTTCGGTCAAGCTGAAGTTCAACCATGGAATGAACCCGAAGCTTTCGAACTTACGAAAAGGAAAGAATCTGAAACAGCGTGAATAATAAAAACAGCAAGCACACATTGTCTTTCATTATAATTTAAATGTTACTTGTACTATATGCATTTATTATATTACACGTGTGCTAAGGTAGACACTGTACATAGCATACCTGTGTCGGTAATACTGATGAGGTTTATTTCTACACCTACGTCGGTAAGACTGATTAGGTTCTTCCATTACCTACTGAGAAGTAGTTACAGACTTCTGTAAAATTGTACAAAGTGAAATAATTGTATAAACTAGTTACAATGTTTAATTATTTATGAATACTCTGTACAAATTTTTAGACTTTACAATTTATGCTTGTTGTCATAGAAACGAACTTTATGTAAGAATTTTTATTAGTAGTTTCACTTATAATTGTTCCTATCACTTCTAGTATCCACTATTCACGAAAAATGTAGATTTTATTGTATTTATAAAATTATTTATACAGAAGTAATAACAATTTAAACGATCAATTTTTAGACATAGCAGGCGAAACATCGTTACAAATATTTATGTAAAAAATTTATGTGAACATATGAAATTAAAGGGGAAGATATTTATATATTTATTAAATACCTCAAAATTTGAATTGAAACCTGAGAAGTTCAACGGTAGTGTAAATTCAATGTAGGAATATGACGATCACTTGTTTAAGTGATTTGTTTTGTTACTGTTCTATAAGTATGAAAAAATAAACATCATATATTTGTTAAACATCCAATAAAGTAGTATAAAAATTCTTGAAGCAATAAATAAATAAAAGTCTTTCAAATTTTACCGTAGAAACTGCGAACTTTTGTGACATGCGTTCTTGCTTTGACGTGAAATATGCAACTGAAATTGTAATCGTGGAAGTGGTAACTTAACAACTGTTGGCGCCAAATTCAAATCGAGCGTTCTATAATAGAGGTTCTCAATCAATGATACGCGCCACTTTATTTTATCATTACATTTAATTTCAATGACCGAAAAACAAATAGGGCGGAAGATTTAATTGGAATCAAATTAATTTACTTGAATGCACTAAATTTAGTTTATTGGATCGGTATCAATTTAAAATAGAATACTATAAAATGGTACTAAACACACAGAAATTGATTTGTATCAAACAAGTACAAATGAAATTGTTTTATATACTAATAATTATACGATTTGTTAAATTAAAGTATTCCAGTGTACATTTATTTTGTTAGAAGCACTTCTTTAAGTTGTGGTGGAATTTTGATTTTGGTGGCACATATTTATGAAAGAATTGATAATTGCTGATTTATAATATTATTTTCATAAAAATATAAGAACAAAGTGGATGAACCATACGATACTTTATGATATATTATATGAATGCGAAGAGGATTTGAATGAAAACTTTGTATAAAAGCATTTTGTATAGTCACGCATGCGCACTCGATCAATGACTCGAATAACGCGCGAAAATTTGAAAACATACATAGGAAAATATAAGAATTTCACAATTTTTATGTTTATTTATTAACATAGCAAAAACATAATTATAAAATTTGACATTGAATTGTATATAAATATATATATTGTAAATATAATATCTAAAATAATAATAAAGAACAAAATTTACAAAATTAATTAATCCATTCATTTCTTCCTTCCTAAGCAATATGATACATTTAATATTTCATCCTAATACAACATGTATCATGTTAATTCTCATAAACTACATAATTTTTGGAATAGAATTCCTTTTTTTTAAAATCTATTTTTAACAAATATTATTGTATTTTAGCAGTATAAAATGAAAAATTGCTATTCTCAATAGTATGTACATGTAATATATACAGGGTGTACCCAACTTCACCATTTTTAATTTTTAATTACTTTCTACGTTTAATTACTACTTATAATGATACAAAACAATGTTCCAAAAGAAAATTACTGTATTTTTAAAGAAAAAATTATACTACAAAGTTACATATCATCTCAAGGTCGCATGTTTACAAATTTTACTATTATTATCATTTTTCTAACTGAAACGATCTACATTTTGTTTCCTATAAAAAAGATAATGTCCACATTCAAATAAGTATAATAACGCGACCTTGAAATTATTTTGGGGTGGAAACTTCGCATGTAACTGGTTTAAATGAAACTTCATGGAAAATAAATAACAATGACAAAATAAAATCCTTAATCCCATGATTTATTATTTTAAAGACATCCCCTACCAAACTCGACACATTCACAATCAAACGTAAAAACGCACGTTAAATTTTTTAAATCATACCCAAAGAAATGTTTATACTGGCATTAGAAATATAACTTTCCATGTTTCCAGCTGTTGCCGAAACATAATCTGTGTAAACAATATCTGTGATTTTTCCCCTTCCGAGAGTTGCCAGATCGGAACGATTACTAACAATTTCTTATCGTAAAATCGGAAACGTGAAAGAATGGATATCAATGTCTGCGTATACATTGTTCGATAAATAATATAAAACACATTCTACGCACATTTTTACGCCTAAATTGACTGTACCAAGTTTACTGGAGCACATTTTGTGTACACATTAAAATGATAAATCGTGAGGGGTTATTTATTTTGTTACTATAACTCATCCTCCGCGAATTTACACTTTGATCGTTTACACACGAAATTTGCCAGTCGAGATCGTTTCAAAGCCTAAATAGGTTATGAAATATGTCTGCATGAAGCTCAACGTAATTATTCGGACCATAAACAAGAAAATAGGTCACTGTATTTAGAAAAAATATTAAATCCAAATAGGTATAATGGAGAACATGAAACTTACGTGAAAATACCTTCAACGTATAATTTAATTTTTTCCTTAAATTTTTACAAAATAATTGAAAGTGATGGGGTTAGGAGAAAAAATAGTAACTTAACTTAACTATAAAATAGTACTTATTATTTAGTACTCTTTTCAAATTTAAGTTTGATGAAGTATGGTGTGTACTTTGGTCACTTTAAGTACAATTAACTTTCTCTGAAGGTATGAGAGATATGGAAAAGAATTTCTGGAGAAATAAATGAAGTCGAGGAAGATAGTGCTTACAATTATTTGACATTGCGATAACCCTGTAAAGCATTATAGAGGACACCTTTGAATTTTTTAACGATACGATTTATAAATTGACGTTAACATGGCGTTTTATATAAATTAATTCTGTATATTTTAATAACAGTAGATTTGTACAAAAGCGTGTACGTCTGTAACGTCCGAATTTTTATAAAAAAATGTGTAATTTAGTAAAAATGACTAATCTATTGTAAGTAATTTTGTTAAATATTTAAAAAATTATTCAACTGCAAAAATTAAATATTATGAATGATGATAATAAGAATAAAATGAATAAAACAATAATAATGGATAGATATCACAACATTAATAATAATAAAAGTAATATAAGTAAAATTATAATAATAACAGAAATTACATAAATAAAATGATATAATAAATTTATTACAAATTATTAATTACAAAGAATTTTTATAATTTTAACATGCAATTTAAAGGGTTAAATAAAATATAAATGATATAATAAGTTTACTGTAAGTTATTGACTAGAAGAATTTTTTTATAATTTTAACATACAGCTTAGAATGTCAAACAAAGTAATAATAGTAATAAAAATAATATAAATGAAATATAAATGATATAATAAATGATATAATTATTGTATGTTATTAATTACAAGGATTTTTTATAATTTGAAAATACAACTTGGAATGTTAAATAAAATAATAATAATAGTAAAAACTGATATAATAAATTCACAAGTAATAAAATAATACACTCTTCAATTCTCGTATCTTATCAAACAAAACTAAATTGTATATTTTACCAGCATTAAAACTTATTTTTACTAATCACAATTTTTTGTTTTACTCATATTACTCATATTTTATTCATATTATATTACAAATTTGCAATGTTAAATCATCTCTTTTAAATAAATGTGTAATTTAGACAAAGTTTATTATTTTCACATTGTCATATTTTCTGACATATCAAGAATGTATTTCTTTATGAAACTACAAAAACAATGCAACGATATGTGAAATATAAAATATAAATGCAGTGAGTGTACCAAAACCTGTCGTCGGTTGCGTAAATAATCTATCTCTCACGTATTTACATACGTGTTAATGCATTTAAGATTACTTGAAAGAAAACTGCTGTACAAAATGCAACAGTTTTATAAATGCAATCGTGTACACTTACAAGTATAACATTGTTATTTGATCATTTTACGAATATATTATCTTATAACGATTTAAATACAATTTACATTTTTGTATGTTATTATCGTTTATTCTATTGTTCTAAAATGAAGTTTCATTTCATAATTGTTTTTTATGTATAAACGATGTTTGGTATTAAATATTCACAATTATTTTGTAGCATGCTATTATTAAACTGAAAATTCTTTAATTTGAATTTTCGAAAATACAGATGTTTATAAATATAAATAATTTTGTAAATGTTCAACTCTTCCTACTTTTCTAAATTTTTAAGTTTCCAAATTCCAAAACCTCTAATTTTTCAAACATCTGAATCTTCAAAGGAAATTTTTTAATTCCCACATACTGAATTTTTAGATTCTCAAATTCCCATATTTCAAAATTTTATAATTATCAAGGTTTTCGAATATATAAATTTTTAAATTTTTAAAGATCATTTTCAAATTTTCAGGTCTTTCAATTTCTAAATGTTTTTTTAGAGTTCTAACTTTTTAAATTCTGAAATTTTCAAATTTCCCAAAATTCAAATATTCCGCACTTTCAAATACCTTAGCTCTCTAATTTTCAAATCTTCCAGCTTCTAAATTTTCGAATTACCAAATATAAATTTTCAAATTTTTAAACTTCTTATACTTCAAACTTTCTCCAAATTTCCTTACCAAACTTACAAATTTACAAACTATTTTAAAAATGTACGAGAACCCCTAACTCATAAATTATCAAATCAAAACCGAACATAAGCTAAAATTTGTTAATCTTCCTAAACTTCAAAATCCTATACTTTCAAATACTCAAATTCCTAAACCATTAAATTTCCAAATTCCCAATTTTTAAATCTTCTAACCTGACCTTAAATACTAACCTAACCTTAAAAGCCTAACATAGTAACAACTTAATAATAACCTAACCTAACCATAAATGTTCAAAAATATTAAAAACCAATAAAAAACCTACGAATGAAGGGAAAGAAAGTTTTCCCTGCACCTTTACTTTCCCTAGAAAAACTTACTACAGTATAAACATAACATATACATATGAAATAAAGTGTTCAATCATTTACTTAACATTTCGAAGTCATTAGACCTTCCTTTATTCTATCGTCAATTACCAATCAGCGCATTTGTATATTTAGTTTTATCATTCAGGAATGATTTCACTCACGCTTCATGACAGTGTAATGATAAACAACCTTCTATGAGCGGTGAGACATTGACCTGATAATTTGGAAAGTCAATGCTGTTGAACTAGAAGCTTAAAAACTTAATAAGCTTATGCATACAAGTAACATTCTAAATTATTATCAAACATTCCAAACAGAAACCGATTCTGAACGATAACTGAAAAATGCTGACAAATATTGTTAAAACTATTTGCTCTAAATATCGGTCTAAAATAAAGTATCTCCTAGAATAATGTTTAAACAACGGTACTGAGCTGAATATTCGTTGTCAGAGTACAAACATCGGCTATCGTGCGAGATTTTTCCTCGACGAGAGCGTAAGTTGAAAAATGGCGGGAGTGGGAGAATACCCTTTTCGACGATGGACTATAAAGCCACGATCGACGATTGATGGATCGTAGTGTCGTTTTTGCGATTTACCAAGAGGCCCGACCCTAAACGCAGGAATATTATCAACATGACGTACTCGAACACGAGAAAGAGAGTTTCCATCATCTCCATCTCGGAGCGTATGCAAATACCAACGGTGAAACCGAAAGGTAACTACATTTAATCTCGTGCCCATTTTCTCGATTTGGACGTCATATCTCGATCGACGTATTTCCCGGCGGTTGTTGAAAAATAACGATAGAGTGTAGATACATTATCGTTTAAAAGGCAAACAAAGCAGTTTTACAGATATCTCCCCTGTTATTTTATTTTTGTGTGTTTTTCAATGGTGTTCTCGTAGGAAATTCGTGTGGTTTCATATTTTATTTAGTGTTTATTCATTTGCATTTTATTTAGTGTTATTTTCGAAGTGAAGGTTTAACTGCTCTGATTTGATCGATCGGGGAGATCGGGGAGATCAATGTGATTATTGGTAGCTATTGGAAATGAGTGTTATTTATCGTGATTTTAGTAGAGATTAGTGACGTTTGTCAAAAAATCGTGTCTCTCACGTGCAATGTCATTCCCACCCGTGCAACCACTTGTCGTATCTGTATAGATCGTGATAATTACTCCGTTTCTCTTTTGTGTTTCGTACAATTTTTTCAATCTGTTGCACTGCATTTTTTAAATCGTTTAAAAATTAAGTGATTGTTTACGCATTAATTTCGTGAATTTCATAGAAGTAAAAATTTTGTATATTTCATAGAATATTTTATAAAGCTAATATAAGTCTGTAAAATTGATAAATTTTATCCAATTCTATAAGATTGATAAATTTTATGAAATGCTGCATTAATAAATTATATTAAAGATAAGTTTAATAAATTATACACAATTCTAAATTTTATAAATTTTATAAAATTCTATAAGTTCAATATATTTCATAAAATTCTATAATTTCTATGAATTCCATAAAATTCAATAAGTTCAATATATTTCATAAAATTCCATAATTTTGATGAATTCCATAAAATTCAATAAGTTCAATATATTTCATAAAATTCTATAATTTTGATGAATTTCATAAAATTCAATAAGTTCAATATATTTTACAAAATTCCATAATTTTGATGAATTCCATAAAATTTAATAAGTTCAATATATTTCATAAAATTCTATAATTTTGATGAATTTTATAAAATTCAATAAGTACAATATGTTTTATAAAACTTCATAAGTTTGATCCATTTTATAAAGCATGTATTTTATCAGTTTTATGAAATTTTACATATTTGATAAGTATTATAAAGTTCAACAGATTTGATAATTTTAATAAATCTGATAAATATGATAAATTTGATGAAATTGATGAATTTGATGAATTTAATGAATTTGATGAATTTAATGAATTTGATAAATTTGATGAATTTGATAAATTTTGTGGGATTAGACAAATCTGATAAATTTGATAAATAGTTGTAGTAGTATAATAAGTGACGAGCATAAAATTACGTAGATGAATACCGACAGTTTGATAAAAGTGATAAATCTGATAAAGGGACACTTGATCAGTTTTATTGATTTTATAAATCTTACGACTTTCAAAAAATCGCAAAATTGTATAAATCTCATAACTATCACAAATTCGATTAGTTTTATTCTATCAATTGCATAAATATTAAAAATTCTTATTTTTTGAATACTTTTACGAAAAATCTATAAATCTTAAGAATTTTATAAATTTGAACAATTTTGTATATTTCACAAAATCTGTTACTTGCTTAAATCTGTAATTAATATTTTTAAATATTATTATGAAAAAAATTCGTAAACCGTACAAATGTTACAAAGATCCGTAAATTTTAAGAATTGTAAAGACTTTTTTTTATGATGTGTTAAATATTATCTTTAAAAAATTGTGAATCGTGTAAAGCTTATAAAACTGTATAATGTTTATAAAATTTCCTAATTACTTATTGTACCTGACTGAGGATAAATAAAAAGAGATTTACGTTGAGGCTGGAAGGTATAATAAATCAGTCCACTTGAAAATGTCAGTACCGTTTTTTTTCTCACGAAACAACAGCAATGCTTGTATATTATGACATAACACTGTTTCATTCTCTTATATTCTTGTAATTACATTTTCTATGAGTAAATACTCGTCGATAAACAGCAAATAATTTGCTGTGATTAATTCAAACGCTCTAGACAGATGTTCTATTCTACTATTGATAAATATGTATTTTGTTTCTTCCTGCAAGTAATTACATTATTGTACCAATTAAATGTACGATGATGCAGAATTTTTTTTCTATATTTGAGAAATTGTGAGGAACTAAATTTTACCAATTTATCAATTTCGTGTTTCATAATTTTTATACTTTCAAATTTTTATATTAAAATGATTCTACAATTTTGTATGGTCAAAGTAAAACGAATTTATTGATTTACTGATTTACCGATTTACTAATTTACTAATTTACTAATTTACTAATTTAGCGATTTACTAATTTACTAATTCCCAAAATCACAAATTCACAAATTCACAAACTTACAAATTTATGAATCTAGTAATTTATGATCCTCTAAATTTAAGAATGTAAAAGTTCTATATTACTATATTTTTGTGCTTCTACATCTTTGTATGTATATTTATATTTTTATTTTTCTATATCTTTAAATTTGTATATTTCTATATTTTTATATTTCCAACTTTTCAAATTTCAAATTAGTAAATCTGAAACCTTACAACTCTATATTTTCATATTTTTAAATGATTAAATTTCAAATTTCTCTCAAATCGCTATATCACTAAAAAACTGAATTCACAAAAGAATGATAAAAATTTATAATGTAAATTGAAAAAAAAAGGAATTTGTAATTTTTTGTTTTGATCAAAAAAAAAACAAAAACAGAAAATTACTAAATATTTTATTAATAATAATTTAGTGTTATAATTTGTAATTATTATAAATTATTTTATTAATATTTATTTATTATTATTAATTATGTTATTAATAATAATTACAGCAATATATATTATAATGTGTTACACATCTAATAAAGTGAACTGTAATTCTAATCTAAATTATAATATCGAGCAAAGTATCATAGCAATATTTCATTTCCTACTGTTATCTCTGTCAGTTGCCTATCAGAAAGCCATATTTTTAATTATAAAAAAGACGAAATAGATATTCTATAAACAGTATCACATAAATTAAATATAACGTTTCCTCATTCGTACTTGTCAAAACAGAATTATCTTAATTTTCCGCTTTGAAACGGTAACTGCAGGAATATATTATAACATAGTGTCGTAATTCGCAGACGCTGTCTGTATCTCTGTTTTCGAACTAAAAATCGGATATATTTACCTCTAGATATACGGATATTTACTGACCACTTATATTTAAATTGAAATTATACTATAAAAATAAATACTGGATAATACACAGCCTATACAATTCTTTATGTCAATAATAGTTAACAATTTTGTCAAAAGCTTAATGATTTTCTGAATCTAAAATAAGAAATTCGAAACCCACCATTTTAGCGAGCTCTATGAGTGTTGTGTTAAGTGTAAATTTTAATTTGATACATCGAAGAAATATTGAATTATTGTCAATAAATTAAAAACACATTTTACGCGATGTAAGCACATATCAATTTATGAATGCATGAAATTAAGAAAATTTCATAAATTTGATAAATATGTTTAGTATAATGAATGCAATATAATTAAAATGTATTACAAATACAAAAGTTAGTTCGAGCATAATTTTCTAATAATAATTAGATCATTTGTCTGTAATATATAAACTTATGTATAATACTTTAATATTTAAACTTACTAATAAGAATGTATTATACATTATAAATATTGCATTATATGATGTATTATACACTATAAATATGCAAAAGTAATATACCTAACAATAATTCAATAATATGAATTAATAAATTTCAATTAGTTCAATCTAATTTAATTTCATCAAAATTGGTAAATTTCACAAAAAAAATTGCATAAAACGTATAAATTTTACAAATTTTATAAACCAATAGCTCCGACATAATTATACATTTAAAAAGAAAATAGTACCAGAATTTAAACAGCGAACAAAAAGATAAATAAAGAAGACAATAATTTAGAATATAGAGATTCTCTAACAAACTGTATTAACATAACGGTAACAGAGCGAAAAATGAGACATTTATCATAAATTATATTTAAATCGAAACTAAATTATAAAAATAAATAAATTTTGGCGCGCTTTTTTCGATCATCGATCGGAACCTAACCTGCAAGGAGAAAGTGCTCGCCACGCGGTCGCAGTGAAAATGTCGCGCCTTATAATTTCGTAATTTAATTGACATTATCTTTTTAGTCATTAAGTATATTGCAAATTCTTAATAGTAGTGAATATTACCAGCTACATAAATAATGGATAACACTTAAACCAGCTTATGCAACGATTCTTCGTCTCGATAAAGATGAACAATTTTGACAGAAGCATAGTTTTCACAGTTGAAGATAAGAAATCTGAAATCCGTCATTTTGACGAGGTTCGGGAATTGTGTGTTAATTGAAAGTTTTAAGTTGATACGTCGAAGGCACATCGAATTACTGACGATAAATTAAGAACATGTTTTACGCGATGTAACCGGCATACCATGCGATAATGTTTCGTGTAACGCGTGTAGTATGTATAAGTATACGTGACGAATCACTTTGAATTCCAAGATGTGACGCCAGCCGCTCGTCAATGTCAGATTTCTCGTGATGTCCTAGAAATGTGAAACAAACGAATTACCCGTACAGATTTTCTGCATTGCTGATATCGCGGTATGCGAAGAAGCACAGTGTGGTCTTATCATCAATACAGAACTGACAAGGAAAGTATCGTTATCCCACTTTGCTGAATATTTTATTAATAAGCTCTCGTCAAATTGATGAATCGTGTTATTAACAATCTTTCTATAAATGATTCCACGAATAGATGGAATGATCAATTGATTGTGAGATACTTGATGTTCAAGTTTTGATAAACTTCACCTTCTTGCGAAATTTTCGATAAAAGAATTATAGAATAGGCGCTGAAAAAGTTATGAGAATTTATAGTTCATTTTCAAAATTTATTTTAAGAATTATGTATAGTGCCTTGTGATTAATTGAAGATTGATATTTTTGATAAAATATCTTAAAATTGGAAGACAAATGGTAACTTGTATTTTGACAGTCTTGTTTCTTAATAAAATATGGTTATATACCACTTGTTTTTAGAAGAATTCAATACATCCTTTGTATGAACATTCTTTTGATATCTACTTTCTGCAAAAGTGTAGAAGAAATATTTGGTACAAAAAAAGATATTTAAAATCAAGTTTTTTATTATATCTAAAATATAATACCTGTAAAATCACAATTGTATATAAATTACAAATACAATTTTATAATTTAAAACAAAAAATCGAAAACTATGAACTTTCAAGATTTTTGGTTTTCAAAATTTTATTTCCTTAATTAGCAATCACCTATTTTCCAATTCATAAATTCTTAAATTTTTGAATTCTTAAATTTGTAATTTTGAACATAATTCTTTAATAATTAAATAATTTTTCATATTTCAATACTTCAATATGTATATCGAAAAAAAAGAAAATATTTTAGAATTCAGAAGCTTCCTAATAAACTGTGTTGACATAGCGGAACGAGATATGATACATTTATCATAACTCACGTGAATACGTAACAGGAAACATAAATGGACGAATAAACAATCGGACAAACCATTGGGGGTTAAGTTAGGTTAACATTTAACAGTCGTCCAATGTAATCAAACAAAATTTTAACTATCAATATTGATTAGCCGACCGCAAAAAAGACTTTTCACTATCTATAATGTCTATCAATAACCAAAATAAAACTCTGGTCACCAATAATAATTATTGGTGACTAAAATACGACTTCGATTATTCATATTGGTTAATGGTAATTAAGAGAATTTATAATTGGTACCGATTGTTGGTGATTAAATTCAATTTCAGTTGGCTTTTAAATTTAATTTTTAAAATAATTTAAATGATTAGTAACGAAAATTATTTTATTAACGATAGTAATTATTATACCTTTTAAAATTTGATCTAACTTTTAAAATGTTTCTCATAATAATTATGCTTTTCGAGAGTAGTATTAAAGGAGAAGATATGAACATGAGATAACCATTTAATTTTTTGAACTATATAAAATTTGTTCCTATATAAAATTATCAAATTAAAAAAAAAGAAAAAGAAACAAATAAATAACGTTAGAAAATTTCATTATAAATGTCCTGTATTATGAACCAACGAAAAACTATAATCCTCTCATTTTTTTTTAATTTAAAACAAAATTAGATAAGTAGAAATTTGCGTGGCAGTATGAGATAGTGTTATCTTTTCGAAGAATAAGTTCTGAAACTGCAGTGAAACGCGAACATCATCTTAATTGATTTAGTTTCACAATAATCAGATATGTAAACGTCGTTCTCTGAATTTGAACAACCATAATGAACTCATAACTGTTATGGCAAACGTTGGACCCACAGTTCACCTTTGAAATCACGAAATCTGCACGTCTGAAGTCTTTCATTCTGGTTAATGCCGCCATATTTTGTTAAAAATAATTCGTACTAATTCAAGTGTCTCGGTTTTTTGTTTTTCTATTGATATTTCACGATAAAATGGTATACACGAAATCTTCGCAGATATTCTTAAATTATATGTATTACTATATTGCACTATAGTATATGTATACCATCTAACATACACTAAATAAAAATAAATTCAATATATGGACGCAAAAACTACCTCTTGAAATCAAATGTAATAAACGATATTACAGTAAAACCTCGATATAAGCGAATCTCTGGAGTCTGAATTTTCGCTTCTATTGTGTAGTCTCCCTATTTACCAAAGTTTGCCGAACGTAGAAAAGTGCAGCGAGCTATGGAAACGAACGACTGCACTAATATCCCAATATCCTAATGCACGAATACAATTTTTTTATTTTTTATTTTTCTTATGAAGCATATACCAATATATTTGTGACATTTTTCTGATTAAAATGAGACCAAACACGACATGATTCGAAACATATTTACTTGCAATTTCAAGTGTTTTCGTTATAGCAAGGTTCTACCGTAGTAATTTTCGCGGTAAACTCGTGGTAAACGAGAAATGACACGCCGGATAATTTCGTTGTTCTTCGGTGCTATTCGGATAATCACGTGACACGTGTGACAGTCGAAATCGTAGATGTCTATAGCTTTATGACTTCGAGGATTTTATTATTATGAGTTATTACAGGTAAATATGCCCTGAATTACGTTATGTTTAGTCTCATTTTAATTAGGAAAATGTCTCGAATATAACGGAAAAAGCTGTAGGAAAAGAGGAATGAAAATAAAAGAGTTAGCAACCTATTAGCATTGTAAACAATGCAGCAGGTTTGATCTTCGCCGAGCGTCAGAGTCACAACGTTTCTTTTTAGCTTGTTATCCTTCTCCACGTTCGAGAAACTTATCATCAATTAAATCAGTAAATATAGTCCAAATTGTATCGAATTTGGTCTCATTTTAATCAGAAAAATGTCAACAATCTTGGCAACAATATTGGTAAAAGTTTGATAACGAAAAAATCAAAATTAAAAGAGTTTTATAGTTGCATTGGTATTGTCTCACGGATATATCAAACTCGGATCATTTTACATTTCTCGGCAAGCGAGCTAAAAACATCATTCCCCCAGTGCGGAAAATTTTTTGTTTATATTATGTACGCCATTTTCGCTTGTGTCGACCCAATACTGTGTATCATCTTAACACACAACAGACAATAGAAAAATCTGTACTAATAAAAAAAAATGAACAACGTTATTCACAATATTTAGTTTTTAGTATTTTTAAACATTTTATTTTAGTTATTGTCAAAAATATGTATATTTTATATAAATCAAAATGCTTAATGTTTTATACTTATCTCGTATTTTTCCTCTGTTAATTAATTTAAGCAAAGGTACACTAAAACGCAACAACTGATGAAAATATCGTTTGTAATTTTGCAGCTAGTTTCGGATGTAGGCACGTACAGGTGATTTTGATGGCTTTGGGCTTCTTGTGCTGCTATGCGATTAGGGTTACCACATCAGTGACATTGGAGGCAATGACCGACGCTTCCAGTGCGAATCCTGCCTTTGAAGTATGATTGCATTCTTATCTTCCTTTTCTTCCTTACCACGTTGCCAATAACGTGGTATTATACTTAACAATTATGTCAAACGTAACAAATATTAATCATAAATTGTAAATTCACACATATTAATCATAAGTCGTATAATTCGTAACGCTTAATTACAATATAACTCGATAATTAAACGAAATAATTTTTCAGCTGCTTGATGACCTTGATGTATGTTGTCAGGGTCATTACTTTTAACACCTTTTTCTGTAGATATTATCGCATGCCTTTAGTTTTGGAGATATATATATACAAATGTGATAATTGTTCACAAAAACGCGTAGTTCACCGATTTTAATGGCCAAAAATGGGAAATTATTTATTTTTATGATACACTAATTTACAGAAAGGCACATTATTTTGATGATCTCGAAATATATTGTCAAGGTAAAAGTTTTTAGTAATTTATTTTGTATGTAACACCTTCTTGGTGTTAGCTTTTGAGATATATGTAAAATATTTAGTTTTTCTACGTTATGAGCGTATGTGCTGATATAAATAATAAAAGTCCAATATAGTATATTTTATTACTATATATTTACTATACAATTAATCTACTCTTTTTTCAGGAATGAGCTTAGTGTAATACATTACTATTTTCCAATATTTAATCGTCGTAGTATATCAAGTGAGAATATAATTATTGGAATAGAACCTAAATGAATTTCACATAATTTAATTTTTGATTTATAATCTAATCTAACTGAAACTAGACTTAATCTAAATTTAATGTAAACTATATTTGTCTGACTTAAGAGTAACTGTATGTAAACTTTTTTTAACCTAATCTTGATTAATACTAATCTAACCTAACCCTATATTAGAATAATATAATAACTTATCATAAACTAACGTAACTCAACCATAACTATAATAGTAATCACGTTAAATTACCAGATATACTATGTCAAAAATGATCTTAAAAACTAATAAATCGATATCATAATACGTAGATATTGAGTTGGTCAAAAAGTTTTGTCGTTTTTTAAGGAGATATTTAATTACCGATTTTGCGTATGTAGTAAAATCTTATTACACAAAATATTTATTGTTTTTTCAATGTATGAGCAGAAATACTATTGATAAAGACTTTCATTTAATCATTATTGATCATAACTGTGCTTGCTCTTCTAGAACATGGATCATTATTCCTAGAAACGTTTTCAACAAAAAATTTCGTAAAACCAAAACTCTTGCGATCATTTAGTACAATCTCACGTACACTATTCATATCTTTTTCCAATTTAAACAATGTTCTACCTTTATGAAAATGATATAATATTTCCAAAACCAGACTTTGTGTCTTCCGCTTCTAACTATTTGTAACAGATGAAACACTCCATTGTACTCGGCACTCTTTTTTAAATAAGATACCCTGAAATGTAAGCTTCAAGGCCATGTATGCATTTGTTGAAAAAAATGAAGTGTCGACACACAAATTGAATGAATGTCAACTACTGATAAAAATGATATAACTGTTTGGCCAGCCCAATATAAACAAAATTGTAATTTTTAAATATAAACATATCAGTTGTTGATGTGTTTTCAAGGTTATTTCCCGGAATAAATTGCAAAAGATTTTAGCTGTTACTCATTGTTCATTCAGGTATTAATAACAGAGATGATTCGTAAAAATCAAAGTGCGTAATCTGAAAATGGAAAGTTTGATGAATTAATTTATGGACACAGTTTAGTCTGTATTACTTTTGTAGATGTATTATAGTTAAAGAAATATGTAAATTTTAATATGTGAATTATAATACTTGTTTTAGGAAAAATGTTGTTTAGGGAAGGTACATACAATAATGACCTTGATCTTGGCTTTGATTGTGTGTCAAGGTCATCTTCCTGTGTGACCTACATAGGATATAGCTATAATTTGTTATCTGTTGAAATGTTATTTAAGGGGTAACACCACTCTAGAGCCCGAAAAAGAGGCCTAATTTTGACAATTTTTTTTGGAAGAACGATAAAAGGAAAATAGTCTCTTTTCAGAGGGTTTATTTAACACATGTTGAACTACGACAAAATAATTTTTGATTGTCATTTTCGTACAAAATAGAGGCGACAGAGCCGATCAGCGGAAACAGCTTTTGTAAAAACACTCCCACGGAAGGACGGATTTCTCGTTATGTATGAGTCGTGGGATGAAAAATCAAAAGAATTTATAATCTATGTACAATTGGCTTTGGAAGTACGTAGGGGTTTTTTGATTAATCAATTTTTGTGGAAGTTATGCGTTTTTTAAGGAATGAATCGACTTTTTCCATGAAAAATGAGCATTAAATTGTTTATAAAAAAAAAGTTTACATTCAATCAAAAAACGGCTACATACTTCCAAGGACAATATTGTTGTGCAGCTACTGTAAAAATTTCAATTCAATCCATGCAGTAGTCACCGAGAAATCCGTCCTCCCAATATGAAGAAACTGGTTTCGAGAAAAACACGTTTGAAGTTTTATGAACATTTTGATCCTTAAATTCTCTGTTCACCGCTAATCTGCAATGCCTGTACCATACATTTGGCTATCCAGGTCAGTGTTTGCCACCTTCTCCAGCTTTCTGGATGCTTCTGTTTGTTTTGTAGGTAACAAGTAAACTTATTATTTTAAATGATAACAATAATACGAAAGCGATGAATTGCAACATACCGCGCGAGTACTCAGTGCGCGCTCTGAGGCGCTGCGGCAAAATTGATAATTGAACCATTTAAAATTCGTTTTCCACTATAAATCAAACGGCATTCTGTTCTTAAGACCCTAAAGTATTGTTTTAGCAAAGAAAAAAAAATCGACTTTCTGAAAATCCTAGAGTGGTGTTACCCCTTAAAGAAATCAACCTATGCTACAGTAATTATCAAGTTATCAAATTAGTGAACTTTCAAATTTTCTAATGTAAAATTAAGAGTTGCAAATTCAGAAATTTAGTAATTTAAAAATTTTTGAATTAAGATATCTAAAAAATTTAAGAATTCAGTAATCTAGGAGTTTAGAGATTGTAGAAATTGATAAATTAAGAAATTACAAATTTAGAAATTAAAGAATCTAACAATTAGGCATTTAAAAAGCTGTAATTATTCAAGAAATAATTATTTAGAATATTATCCTTGACAATATATATTTCAAGATCAATAAAATCGGTGCGCAACTAATCAAAGTAATTACCAATAATTTTATTTATATTACACCCAGTATGCTTTTATTTCGTCATTTGTTCATTTCGCTTCCACGTCAAACGCGGCAGTATCTTCCCGCACTTAATTAACGTCATGTTTTCGATAAACACCGGTCATCAATGATTCGATTATCAGTGGCACTCAATGTGTTAATTATTTATTGGTATTATCAATCTACGCTCTCACTTGGAATATTTCCTGACGTGGGATCAATCATACAACAATATTGCTTGATAATGTTAAGTTAATTGAAGAGTGGAAATAAAAGAGGTTACAAGTGACATTTTTCTAAAATTTGCTTTCTGTTTGCATTTTATTTGCTTTCTGTGAATGAAAGTTAATGTCAATTAGTATAAATAAGAATGTTGTTATAATTATTTACAGGTTTTATAAAAAAAAAACAATTTTTACATAGAAACAAGTTTTGATTTTTTTATAGAAATTAGCTTTGATATATTTGAGTGAACAATATTTCGAGTAAAAGGTTGTTTCTACAGTTTCTGATACTTATAGCTTCACTTAATTTTATTCTGAAGATTAAAATTGTAAAAACGATCTTTCATATTTTGTATCACAAAGTTTGCTTCTTGAAAGCTTTGTTGATTTTCATTGAGATAAAGAACTAACAAGTACAGTAACTCCTGCTTTATCGCTTGTTTATATATTTTTCAACTTAATTTTTAATTTCATATCTAAATATTTTTTTTCATTTCCATTAAGATAAAGACTTAATATTCATACTAAGTATGTTTTATTGGTTGTTTATTTTTCAATTTCATTTTTAATTTCAACTAATAATAAGTGCTGATTATACATCATTAGAGTTAAATAAATTCTTTGGATTTATAAAGCTAAATTCTTTGAATTTAGAACACAGTAAAATTAATTTACATTTTAAAATATTATTAGTATATCAAGCAATATACAATAATTACAATAGTTACAAAAGTTATACAGTAATTATACAAATCCTGAAGTTTCCACACAAGTTTTGTCAGTATTCTATAGGCAAAAATAAATAAGTAACTAGTTGAATAAAAAAGGAAACAAAAAACAAAATTTAAATTGGTTAAATAAGTTTTTACAGATCATTTTCATGTAACATTTCAGTAATATTTTCAAGTGTAAAACAAAAGTAGCAAAAGTTGTATGTAATCCTCTGAGACACCCTGTATATATATACAGTTTGAAGTTTTCACAAGTTTTGTCAGTGTTCTATAGGCAAAAATAAATAAGTAACTAAACAATTAATTATATAACAAAAGAACGACAAAATTAAAATTTTAATAAAGTTTTCGCAGATCTTTTTTATGTAACATTTTAGTTATATTTCTAGCAGTAAATAAAAATTAGGAAAAGTTGTATGTAACTCTCTGAGACACCCTATACATACATATACACAGTTTCTTCAATGCGATATAGGACAAGGATTTTAGATATACATATATGTATATATGCGGTCGGCTGTAACTAGTCATAAATACCCTAGGGATCTATTCAGGGCCCTATGTCTTTGCAAAGTTGCCCCACGGGACGTAAATATAGTCTGCATCGTCGTTCACCATTACCATATCGTTATTTGCATAGATTTAGTAGAGAAACGAGTAAATATATTTGCAATTATAATTATTGACAATTACTGATAACTATTGCAAACAAATTTCGTCATTTCTAATTTTCCGGATTCTCAAATTTCAAAATTTGTAAATTTCCTCATTTCTAATTTTCCGGATTCTTAAATTTCAAAATTTGTAAATTTCCTCATTTCCAAATTTCCAGTCTCCAATTTCAAAATTTGTAAATTTCCTCATTTCCAAATTTCCAAATTCTGAATTTCTAAATTTCTAAATTTTTTAATTTGGAGATTTTCTAGTTTCTAAATTTTTAAATTCGGGAAGCATCAAATTCCAAAATAAGCTAGGTTTCGATTCGCAACATTTTCTAATTTCAAAATTTCCAAATTATCTAATTTTTAAATTCTCGAATTTTCAAATTTTCAAAAATCTAAAAATTCTGTAATATTCAAATTCCGCGAATTTTCTCAAAATTATGAAGTTTCATATTACAAAATTACCAAATTTCTACATTTCTCAATTTTCAAATTTCAAATTTCCCAAATCCTCATTTTTCCAATTGAAATTAAGGAGGAATAAATCAGTTTTCTCCTGCACTGCCATTTTACCTTAGAATTACCTACGTTGCACCCCAAATTTAGTTTTCGTATTTTGTACTCAGTTTCTAAAACTATGTACATACATTTTTGATTTATACCCAAAATTATTTAATATTAGAGTGTAAGATGTTACATTCGTCTTTATACAATCATTGAGTTTTCGGATCACGTAGATCCAGAGGACGATCGAAAGCAAATTTAAAAGGGACGTCCAAACAGAAAATAAACGATAACGCAATTAATATTCAGGACGGTCGTCTTACAATGTCCTTATCGCATAGAAATTTGTTAATTTAAAGTCTCTTCAGTTAATATACGTACCTGTTAAGGTTTATCGTCAAGGATCTCTGAAAATCTGTTTATTCCGATCAAGAATGGACAATAAATTAATTACAATTGCAAAGTCATAAATCAAACTTCGTTTTTGCTCTATGTGTCTCTAAAAGGATGATAACCAAAAATTCCGCATTAAAATTTTAAGATTTTATTAAGAAAAAATATTTATTTGTCGATATATAATTCTCTTTATGCTTTTATTGTCATATAAGTAAATTACGAATAATTAGAAAAAAAATTCTGACTTTCAATTTTAGGGCAATTATTATTATTTGAACAATTATTCACAATTATTATTTAAACAATTTCTTACGGAAATGTACTACAATCACCAATGACTCAAATTAATTTCGTTATGTATAATTTAACTAATAAATTTCGTGTACACAAGTGTCGTAATGTTTACGATGCTCATAATTTCAAATATTACTTAAATGACCTGGAATATAATGTATGTGCACAGCTGTTACCTGTACTTAATAATTATGCATAGTAAAGTGACTGCGCAGATTCGTTACTTTCGTTATCTACTACATGTAATTTTAATGTTCACAAGTACAAATGAGATTGATAAGTTTTTACTATTTGCAACATTAATCATTAATAACCACAACGTAATATACAAAGGTATTCTCAATTTAATTTACATATTTTACATTATGAAGTTTTGAATGATTGATGGTGAAACAAACAAGTTTTCATTTCGAATTCCATTTGATGAGTGCGTGAGAGCTATTTCACGGGAATTAATGGTTACCAATTACAGAAAACAATGGCCAGTTATAAAATGTACAATTTGCCATAAATCGATGACGCAAAAGTATCTCAAAATAGCAATACTATTAATCGGAAGCTTTATGAGAAATACATTTAATAAAAATAACTACGTAACTCGTTCACTAATATTTTTTACAAAAATTGGCTGGGTCTTAAAGTATAATTTCACAATTTGATGAAATAAAAATACCGTAAAGCTTAAGTTAAATTAATTTGTTGCTTAAAGTTTAACGAAAATGGCAGGATAAATATTTATTAATGTTCTTAATAGAAAAAGGCTGCTGACTATTTGAAGGTATAAAATACGTGGTATGTATTCGGTATACAATAACCTCTATAAACATCAGAAATCTTTTACCAAGAAGTGTAACATAATCGAATGTGGATATGCCAACTGTAAAACTTGTATATTTTAATTTTTTCGTTATCAAACTTTTACCAATCGATTATTGACATTTTTCTGATTTATATGACACCAAACACGATGTAATTTAGACTATATTTACTGATTTAATTAATCGATAAGTTTCGAACGCAGGGAACGATAGCACGTGAAAAAGACACTGTCATTGTAGCAATCGGCACAAATCAACACTGTTGTATTATTTACAATGCTAATGCGTTGTCAACTCTTCTATTTTCAATCCATTTTTTTATACAACTTTTTTTTTCATATTCGTGGCGTTTTCTTGATTAAAATGAGACTAAACGTGATGTCATTTCGAGTATATTTACATCTAATAACTGACAGGAGTAAAATCCTCGGAGTCGTAAAACCATAAAAGTCTATAATTTCGACTGCCACACGTGTCACGTGATAATCCGAATAGCACCGAGGAACAACGAAATTACCCGGCGTGTCATTTCTCGTTTACCACGAGTTTACCGCGAAAATTACTACGGTAAGACCTTGTTATAACGAAAACACTTGATATTACAAGTAAATATGTTTCGAATTACGTGGTGTTTGGTCTCATTTTAATCAGAAAAATGTCACAAATAAATTGATATAAATTTCATAAGAAAAACATAAAAGATAAGGAGATTTTATTCGTGCATTAGAATATTAGTTCGGTCGTTCGAACGTTTCCGTGCCTCGCTGTACTTTTCTACGTTCGGCAAACTTCGATAAATAACAAAACTACACGATAGAAACGTAAATTCAAATTCAGGAGATTCACTTATATCCAGACTTTACTATAATATTGTTAATTGTTTCAATTTTAAGGGATAAAACTAAAAAGGTTTTATTTATGCACTTGAATTGTCTCACCGATATGTGTATTTTTTTACGTTCGGTTGTTCGGACGTTTTCGTCGCTCGCTGTACTTTTTACGTCCGGCAAACTTTGGTCAATGTCGGAACTATAAACTCGTTTATATTGAAACTATTGTAATTAGAAAATAAGTTTCAACTCAACACAAAGCACTAGAAGAAAATACAGAAAAGAAAAGTTTCTTTGCTTTACTAAAATCTACGACTATTATAAAAAGTATATAATTTCCTATATACTATAATTTCGTATAGTCTCATATTTTTTCTACAGTTATGCGGTGTAGATGATTTGAAAAGCAGCGTTAATACTGGTTACTTTGTGCAGTTAGTGCTATTGGAACTTTTTATATTTTATAGTTCTTGCGACTAAGGCCAAATCTTTAATAGAATTTCGACAAGAATTAAATTAGCTTATGAAAACTGATTGTGAGTGTAAAACGGTTAGTTTGCACATTACAGATGTACTGTGCATGCCTCATAATAGGTCTCTTGAGTTAACACTAGTTGTATACGTATGAAACCATATAAATAAATGTGGTCGGTTTAACTAATAACTACAGCTCGAAAATATCTGTGAATCCAGACGTGTTCCTTCCACTTTGATTAACCAGCTAATTTATTTTGGAAGACTTCTTATTTAGCCCATGCAATAACTGTACCGCACAATACAATAATGTCACGTTTCTTTAATTGCCATTAAATTAGTACAAATAAATAAAATTGAGCTTTGTTATTTCGAAATAAATTTCGTATTCTAAACAGTGTGCGTTATTTAAGCAATAACCGCGGATAAAAAACAATTTTTAAAATTTTTATCTGTTTGTTTGTTCGAGTTTAAGTCACAAGCTATGGAACATATTTTTATGAAACTTAAGCAGTATGTAATCACAGACATAATATTGTTCTTATCTCAAGCGGTTCAGATGTTATTCCATAAAATTATCCATCATAAATTCCGCAAAGATATGAATTATATATAAATTGATATGAAAAGAATGTAATATGATCTTGAACTCTTTTTAATTATTCTTTCATTTTATTTGTTACAGGAATTTAACTGGGATAATACGATTAAAAATAATATTTTGAGTTCCTTTTTCTGGGGATACGTATGCACACAACTTATTGGCAGTATTATAGCTCAACGCTGGGGAGCTCAAAAGCTTTATGCGGGGGCGCAACTTATTTGCGGTGCAGTGACACTTTCAGTTCCTTTTTTGTCACATTATTGCGGTTGGGAAGCAGTGTGTGCTTCCAGAGTAATTGCTGGCTTAAGTCAAGGCACTGTTCTCCCGTGTCTTCATACGTTGCTGTCAAAATGGGTGCCGCCGGAAGAAAGAGGACGAATGTGTAAGTTATATTGAACATACTTTGAAATTATGAATTTTATCATTGAATGCTATACAAACATTAAATTTAATTTTGTATTGTTTCAGGTAATGATTTACCAAAATTTATATACCGTTTTATATTCTAAATTTTCAAATCTTCATTGCATATTTAATTTTGCTTATTCAGTATAAATTCCGAAATTCATAAAAGCTTAATTTTATTTAAAAATTGACTGAATATTTAAAATTTAGATACCAGTCAACTTAAATATTAAAAATGTATAAACTTGATAATTGATTTATTTTTTTAAATATATGACAAACATTTTCTATGAATGTACAAAAATATTCAATGTGAACTCAACTACAAAATGTTCAATCTAAAATGGATTCATGAAAAACATTCAAAATGTTTTTATCAAAATTCGTCTTATAAAACCTCGTTTAAGAAAATGTGCGATCGTAAATGGCCATCATTTCGGACACTTGCAGAATAAATATATCCTATATCTTAAATCTCACACGTTTCCTTTGTCCATGACCTTGGATGACCTTTAGTAACTATACTTACTGAATTCTAAATCAAATGAACTATCATTGCAAATGTCTGACAATGAATGCTTCCATATAAAAAAGTGAAGGTGCCCTTGATATCTATAAAAGAAACGAAAACAATTGTGACACTGTATTTGTTTTGTTGAACTATACAACTTTATCATTAACCCCTAATTAATATTAATAATAGCTTACTATTTATATTAATACTCAACGTGTATTTTATATTACTTTTTATTGTGCATATAAATAGCATCATTTTGTTATTTTTATTTCTTTTTATAATTAAAAAGTGGTACTTTAATTTGAAGTGACTCTAAGACATAAAATATTTTTAGAGATAAAGATATTTAAGATATATGTCAGACTGATTCTGTTTACCCTTGTGAGTAAGTAATATAGTATGTTTACTTATATTTTGTAGTTAAATATTAGAAATTAGTACTAATTATTGAACTTTGTATTTTTCAGTAAAAAGAATGTTTTTGATTGGAATTTTAAAACATAACATTGGTATTACTACAAAGTTTATTAATCTTAATATTTTTAGTACTGTCTCGAATGACAAATTTATACACTAGGTTCTCACTAAAAAGTAGGATCACCAACAGTATACATACCAAAGCGAAGAAGACAACCTGTATCTATTGCCATTAATCAAATCAACTTTATCAACCTAATACTATTATTTGCAAAACAGATTTTTGTAAACATGCATTAACTATTCTTAACATTATTTACAAATTTACTTTGTAATAAATAATATTTTGAAATTGCAATCAAAAACATTCTCCTTCATGAAAAATGCAAGGTTAATAATCAGCACTGATCTCTAATATTTAATTACACAATATAAGTAAATATACTATATTACTTACAAGGGTGAACAGACCGACATGAGAAAATACAAAACAAAAATTTGTTTGATTAAGTAAGCATTGCCATAGTACACATGTTAGGTGACTCATCGTGTTTGTTCCATGGGAATTACCAATAACAGGAACAATTTTGTACTATCAATTAGTGAAGCTATTTTGTATGTTTGTTGCATGTGATACAGCGACCTTCGTTTACGCCGGTGGATGGATCGGAAACGTGATTTGTTTGCTGAGTTCCGGCCTACTATCGGGATCCGCATTAGGATGGCCTAGTTGCTTTTACATTTGGGGCGGTCTCTCTATTGTCTCTGGTGCTCTTTTCCTCTTTATTGGAAAGGAATCACCAACTGAACATTCAAGTATACCAAAGGATGAGAAAGAGTACATTGAAACTAGTCTTGGAATCACTGAAACTGATGAGGTATGGTACATTATTACTTTTTATTTTATCACAAATAAAATATCTACATGTGTTTTTTTAATGATACTACCAAAGAGTGTTTTATGATTTCATTACAGAAGACGTATAAATATGACAAAATTTGTAACATTTGAACATTTATCATTTTCAAAGTTACGAACTTCTAACTTTCAAATTTGCAAAATTTTAAAACAAGGATTTTCAAATCTACAAAATTTTAAAACAAGGATTTTCAAATTTGCGAAAATCTAAATCTCGAGTTTTCACATTTGAAAAATTCCAAAACACGAATTTTTTAATTTGCGAAATTCGAAAACAAGAATTTTCAAGTTTGAAAAATTCTAAAACTTGAATTTTGAAATTTGAAAAGTTCTGAGTCCCGAATTTTAAAATTTGAAAAATTTGAAAACTCGAATTTTCAAAAATGCAAAATTCCAAAATTTGAATTTTCTAATTTAAAAAATTCTGAATCCTAAATTTTTAAATGTGCCATATTTATATTAAAAATTTAGTATCTCAGAATAACAAACCAATTTTTGTTCAAATAATACATTTAATTCCATCCTTATATCAACTTTCAATATGATTTTTGAAATATTTCTTCCATTCAGTAAATGTATACAGAAACAATGTACTTACATTATAGATGTTACTGATTACATAACGTTCCCTAGGTAATCATCAAATATTTCTTTGCTGTTTTCTAATTTGAATATTTATTCGTGATCAACTCTGAATGGAAATTAACACATCATCAAGTGATTTATTAGGAAGGCAAATTAAATTCGTATGTACAGGATGTGTCAGTATTAATGATACAACCGGAAAGAAGATAATTGTAGAAATAAGCAAAAATTAGTCAAAAATGGAAAATGAGATATGTTTGTACTGAGGTTTGTATTTAAAAAAAATTGGACTTAACAATCTTATAAAATATTCATAAAAAATTGTTTTGGAAAATTACTAATTAAACAATTAATAACAGGTTAAAATTAATAACTGAAAATTAATAATTTAAATGCTTTATTAATATTTTTTATATCATTATTTACATATACATGATACTTATTATAAATTCATTTAGTTCTCCAAATTGTACATATATATTAATATATCAATTATTCCATGAAGTATGAATACCTAATAATACCGTTTAACTATAATCCAATATTCCAAATATTTCATAAAATTTTTAAATTTAGTAAACCATGATATATGTATACATAAAAAATTGTGTTGTACATTTTCAACCTTTACATTTTTTTTCACTTGCACCAACTAGTCCATATCTTGTATAAATGTATTCAATTTGTTCTCTTGATAAATCTCTTAGTAATGCATTAATTTCCATTGAATTAGAATTGATCATGAATAAATATTCAAGCCAGAAACACATTAGACACAAAGATATTTGAAGTATGGAATGTTATGTAATCAGTAATTAGCTGCAGTGTAATTGTACATACTAAATAAAAGACACATTTCAAAGATTATATCAACGTGTATTACGGGAACTAGCGTGTTTTATTTGCTTCACAAAAGGCGACACGTGCGAAAATGGTATATTTACCAAATAAAATACAATTACTGGAGGAAAATGAAGTAATGGTGCAATTTGTACTGACTACTGTTATTACTGTTATGGCCATATTTTGTGAAGGCTCTGCTACCCCAAATTTACATTTACTTCCAAAATCTCAAAATTGTAGTTCTAAAATCACAAAGTACTATTTTAAAAAACACAATTTTATTTTATGATATATATTTTTAATTATGTAGACATGTTTAATGTGTTATCTTATTTATCTTACCTTACTGGGAGAGAAATGAGGGTCACAAGTTATTTAAATATTTATAATATAAAAAGTGATTCAGAGAAGAATGAAAATCACTAATCTAGGGCAGACAATTGTAACTATTTACGTCTCGTACGTATCTCTAAAAATAACAGAGATAATTTATGTGACCAGAGTTCTTGCCCTGTATAAATGGATTAATGAAATTAATTATAGTAGCTTCCTTTATCATTGATGAATAATGAGAAACAGAAATAAGTTAAATAAGACATACATATTTTTATGGACTCTTTTATGCATTGATAAAATGAAAACCACGCGATATTAAGGCAACCTATATTTAGAAAGTATATAGAACCTTAATTTGTTTAATGCATTATGTATTGGTGTAACTGAATGTTATAATTGTGTATTGTCTAAAAGGTTTAAATTCAAATTTTGGTAACAGAATTTATATCTCAAAATAAAAAACAATGATTGTATAAATATACTTAAGTATGATACTGAAGCATATACGTATGTATAACTATTAAGTATATACGTATTAAGTGTATAAGTATGATACTTAAGTATTTTTTATTAAGACTTTATGGAACAAATATAGACTACAAAGAAAATGTTGCATTTAACTTGATACTACAAAATAAACGTATTTATAAAATATCTTATGCTAAAAGGTTATAACAAATATGTATAACTGTATGTCTCTCAATCATTTAATGTTAAATCATCTTTATACTTCAGAATATTGTATGTGTTAATCATATAATATTTATATATTTAATATTATTAAATTTTTTTATTCAATGCATTTAATTATAACTTTGCTACATGTTAGAGTAATATCAATCTCTTCTTTTAGTTTATTTTAATCATTTTTCATTTTTTCTTCAGAAACTGCCAGTCCCATGGATGGCGATATTAACTAGTGCTCCAATGTGGGCTCTGTTAGTTACCCAAGCTGCCCAAAATTGGGGCTTCTGGATGCTTTTAACTAAAATTCCATCCTACATGTCATCTGTCTTAAACAAAAATATTCAACAAGTAAGTATTAGATTACATATGTATACAATAATGCACAATACACAAGAGATAATATCTAAGTAAAATAATAAACATTCTATTACATTTTAGAAAAACACACGTTTAAAATGCATCTTAATCTTCAATAATCAGTGTGGAATATTTGCCATTGTCTATTCTTTACATTGTTATCATACTCATTATGTTTACCTTTTTTGTTTCAGAATGGTGCTTTGAGTTCACTGCCCTATCTAACTGCCTGGCTTCTAAGTTTTCCGATCAGTTATGTTTCTGATCTTCTTATCAAACGGAGTATTTTGTCCGTTCAAGCGTCGAGGAAAATTTGCAACAGCATAGGTCAATGGATTCCAGCCGCGGCATTAATCGGTCTTGGATATGTTGATAAAGAACATCCAGATATAGCTATAGCAGTATTAGTAATCGCTGTTGCCTGTAATATTGCTATTTATTGTGGTCACAATGTAAATCATATGGATCTCAGCCCTAACTTTGCTGGTGCTTTAATGGGTATCACAAATACAGTTGCTAATATTTGCAGTATTCTAGCTCCGTTGGTCGCTAGCATCGTCGTTGTAGATTCGGTAAGTATAAATTCCTTAGATTTACATTAAACAAATCTTTTTACAATACATCTGCTTATCTTTTCAATGATACGATTCTTAGTATATACAACTTATTTTTCAAAGAATTGTTTGCTATATAATTATAAAAAGGTTCAATAATGATTTTACATAATCTTGATCATTAAACTATTTAACACTAAAACTACTGAAGAGCTGATTTGCTTCGAGTTTCTTATCTTAAAATAAAGCATTTTTCTGAAATCCTTTCATCAAAAAATACTTTGACATGTTTTAAGATAAAAAAATAACTACATACACTATTGTTTACACTAATGTCTTGTTGCTTATTTATTAATTTTTTGCACATTATTTTCAAATGCTTTGTAGTGACTCAGACAGTAATAACTAACTTTTTATATTTTTTATATTTCAGTCTGATGTTTCACAATGGAGAAATATCTTTTTCTTATCAGCCATAATATATATAGTTGGAAATTTGATATTTGTCTTGTTTGGTACATCTCAAATTCAACCATGGAATGATCCTCAGAAAAAAATTCAAGAGACATCTTTGAATAATGTAGAAGCACCAGCAGTAGAAAATGGGTATGTGAAAGAGAAAGAAGAAATAAAAAAAGATACTGAAAATACAAATATAGAAAAAAATGCGTAGTATAACAAAGGACGGACACATAGATGGATATAAAATTGTGAAAACTATTATAAGTATCATAAGTACTATGACTGACGAATGTATGAATTTTATTATCATCCTTGCAAGTGCATGTAAAAAGGTTACAGAAGTGTGATCATTGTATATAAGCGTTCATGTATGTGTGTATGTATATTTAATATTTATTATAAAAATGTAATATAATTATATTACAATAGATGTTATTTTATCAAGATTTTCTATTATAGAAAATTTTTATATCATTAAATCATAGTATAAAAATATCTATAAGAATTATATTTCAACTGTATTATTCTTCTTTTTGATGTTGTCTTGACATGGACCTCCAAATTGTTCGCATAAGATAAATTGTACATAAGATTGTTAATAATAATGTGATATAAGTTACTGCGGATAGACTAGCTGTATCACCAACTGGTATTGTCCATTCATGTTTTGTATACTATAAAAAGAATATAAAAATAACAATACATTTCTGTTCACTATTATTTAAAACATACTTCCATTGTTAAAGTAATTTAATATATATACCATAACATATGAAATTTCTCTCCATTTGGGTACAAATTCTACACATGGAGAACATAAGTCTATTTTAGAAACTCTATACTCAGTAATTCTCTTTCTACAACCTATAAGCAATTTTGGCTTTGGTAATGTAATATTCACATATTTGTTAATGTTACTGGCATACTGATAACGCTGATGAATTGGTAATTTCATAGTACATTGCTTATTAGTTAACAATGAACAAATAGTAATGTTTTGAGTTTCTGCTCTCTCTTTAAACACTTCAATATCAGTTTCTCCATCTGAACATGCTGTACTCTAAAAAGGAACCAATATAATGAGAGATTAGATGTTGCTTAAGTAAACTATTATTAACTAAGTTAATAACTCTTTAAAAATTACATTATAAAATATATTTTAATTTAAATGAATCATTGCTTGTTACACTACATACAAGCAAGAATAATAAAGAACAAACTGTATGATAAAACAAAATATACTTTTGTATTATTAACTTACGACTCCAAGTCTTCTTAAATTATCTAATTCGTGAACATTAACATATAAATCAGATGGAAGTTTCAAATAAATGGAGACGTAACACTCTTCTATCAAATTATCAACATTTATTTGGTACTGTAAGGATCTGTAAATAAATTATTGTTCCAACAATACATTAGAACATTCTATGGAATATAATTTATTGTTGCTATTTAAATCTCCATTAACCATAACATTTATATCTATGTGATTTACTAAGAATCCAATAACGATAGAATAAAATATATAACTTCATTACAATCTATATAATCTATATAACTTCTGTTTTTAAAATATAGTAATTACTATATTTCAACGTTTTATTTAGAGTATATTATTTCAAATGGCAATCAAAGGACAGGTATACATATACACATTAACTAATCCCTTACAAATAAGTATTTAAAGTATTTAATTAACAGTAAAATTTATAAACTTAGGACATTAGCTAATAATTCAATGTATTTATTTCATGATAAGACACTAAAGAATCTAGTAAATCATAATTAATTTAGGTAATGGAGCATAAAATTTTGCCATAAAAATTCTGCCATAAAATTTTACTGTACTTAACCTATGAAATCCATTGCCTTCTACTGCTAGCGAAACAGAAGCATTTATCGGTTCACAAATTACTGCCGTTTGCAAGATTAAAGAAGAAACTAAAATAGCTTTCATGCAAAACTGTTGAACACGACTTACTATCATTTCTTAAAACAAATAACGGATATAATTTACCTAACCTACACATTATGCTTGTCATACATACTGTTTTATTTATTTACCATGCGCCACATGTGTGATTGGTCCAAACTACGTAACCAAGAGCAACGCGCATGCGTTATTATAACATTTTTGACAGTGACACAAATATTCAAATTTCAAAACAAATTTGCAAGCACGTGTTCTTCCCTTTTCAAGGCCACACGATCTCACCCTTAAAAACTATATTTAAATTTAATTTCATTATTACATATTAATTAATGAAAAGAATATATAGATACAATCGCTAATAATACTGTTACCTCTTGAATACAATGTCAAAATGTGAGGTAGCTTTCATTTTTGCCACAATTGGAATTGAGTTCATAGTTGGGAGTGGCTACATACAGGAAATAACAAATCTAGTTGTGCTTCGATTAACTAAGGAATTGATGCCAGGTATTTGAATTATGTTGTTTTGAGATTTTAAAAATTGCTTTTGTAAAACATTCTTCAAACAGTAATAAATGTTCCACAGGTGAGAGTAAATATTTATTTAAATGTAACAAATTCACAGGCACGATGTCTTCATCTTGAAGAAATCACAAACGGATTGCAACAATATATTCTGTTTCTAAAATTAACTAATGTTTTCTATCCTTAATTTAAAATTGATAACAGTTCGATGTAATCAAAAGTATTCTGAAATTAATTACTCTGGCTCCGCGATGTAATTTGATAAATATTATAGTTAATTAATGCAATAATTGAAGTTTTTCGAAAATTGAATGCGTGGCGCCATCTCTTCGGCGAACACAGTGAACTACACACTTTTGAAACTGTAGTTTAATTAGTTTCCATCTTCTACTGCTAAGTGGCACTACGCGTAGTGTTATCGACTCAATTCCATTCAATAAAGTTGATTTTATTAGCGTAGTTGACTATAATATGAATTAAATTACATCGGAGTGCAAGACTAATTAACTTCAGAATATTTTGACTTTACCAAGTTATTAGCAGTTTGGCTTTTTTTCGAAAAGTCGTAAAACTCTAAATCACGTAAAATTTTGCAAATAAACTCCATTACAAGACAGGAATGATTTGTGAGCAGTTTTTGGCGCGTCAAAACTAATTTTTTTACCTTTTTTATATTATTCTCTACCTTATCGACAATATTCTGACAATGATGTCGCATGTAATAAACGCATGTGTACGTATGTATTTAAATGTGCATATATATAAAATTCAAGTAGTTTTATTGAATACTGTTAATATAATAATTATAATCTACATGTAAATACTGTCTGAGTAGATTTGGTGTAGTTTTTGGTGGAAGCTGCAATACTAAATACTGTTATTTAGTAAATACTGTTATTTAGTATTGCACTAAATACTGTTAAGATATGTATTTGCAATATGTTCCATGGATCCGGCGATGCGGATTACGTCTTCAGACCATTTCGCCCACTACATATGCTGCATCTCGCCGGTAATATAGGAAATGAAATAAGAATTGCAAAAAGTTTTCTTTCAAAAACCCTTCTCACAAATATCTTCTTTTGCAAAACGGGGTTTATTTATAAAATTTGGTCAATATCGGAGAGTGATGGCTTTCCGTAGTTTCACCCAATATTCATATCACAGTATGCTTTCTTATACTGTGTTCGTACCGCGAGTTATCTTCTGGGACATGACAAGTTTAAAACAGTTAAATAATATTAAATATGGTACATAAAATGTGACTTATAAAAACAACTGAATAATAATAAAAATTGTTTATATTGTATAGCATAATTATCAAAAATTGATATTTTTACAAAAACGAAACAAAATTTTTACAGAAACAAAATTTCCAGAGAAAAATAAATAATATAATATAAAATTGCAATATAAAATTATATTTTATAATATAATACGTTTTTTTATAATATAATATAAAATTTTATATAAATAATATAATATAAACTGTAATTTTTATATTATAATATTAAATATATGGATATATATACGTATATGTATATACGTATACATAGTTTTATGTACACAAATATGTAATGTTCATCATTCTATTATCATGTACTTCAAACTGGATTGCACAATGATACGGATTGCACAATATTCAGACATTTCATTCTGCCACTAATAAGTCTGAAATGGGCGATCACTTCGATTAAATCGGAATTAATCGTGTTTCCTTGGTATCACAGATAAGGAACAAAAGCTTCCAAGGTCAAGATCCTCATCAAATAGCCATAAGTATAAATCAGACTCCAGTAAAGACACAGTTCCTTCCAATATTTCAAGTGAAACTTTCGGTCTTTCATTTGACCAACAAGGTACGTAGCAAAACTTGTGATAAAATATTAAATATGGTTGATTTGTTAGTACATTACTCAGAAGTAATCAAAAATCGTTTTAAAATGTTATTACCTTAGAATAGTTACATATATGTACAATAATAATAATAAATAATAATTAAAGTATACGTGCAATAATAATGTAATCTAATGTAAAATAATTGACGAATAAATAAAATTCACATAAAAGAAAGGTATTAAATTCTGTCTGCTAAAAGATTTCTTAATTTTGAATCTTTCATATTGAAACATACGAGTATCATTACAGTGCAGTATAAACTAAAGTAATTTTATTTGTAGGTACTTGAAGTAATTTCACTGAAGATGAACAAGAACGACGTTGGAATATCGCAGCAGACATTAGTTTCCAATATCGAAACTGGAAATGTACCGGCCAAAAGGTTGCCTCAGTATATAGCCATGTTGTCAGTCATTCTTGGCGGTATAGCAGTCGGCACGACAGTAGGCTGGACTTCGTCTGCCGGTGATGGTGGAAGAAAATTACAAGACGTATATCAAATAGAAATTTCTGAAGATCAATTTTCATGGATCAGTTCCTTAACTACACTTGGAGGTGGAGTGGCATGCCTTCCTACTGGGGTTCTTACTAAAATCATAGGAAGAAAAATGTCAATGATGTTGACAATAATACCCTTCACCATAGCTTGGCTGCTTATTATTTTTGCTAACTCCGTACTCATGTTTTGTATTGGTAGATTCATTATTGGCCTCAGCGCTGGAGCATTTTGTGTAGCCGCACCTATGTACTCGGCAGAAATTGCAGAGAACCAGATTCGTGGTGCTCTGGGATCTTATGTTCCACTGTCTTTCAGTATAGGCATTCTAGTATCTTATATTTTGGCAACTTTTGTAAACATACGCGTAATGTCTATTATATGCGCCACCGTACCGTTCATATTCTTGGGAATATTCATGTTTATGCCAGAATCGCCTACTTATTATTTGCAAAAAGGTGACGATGACTCTGCAAGAAAAAGTTTGATCAAATTACGAGGCAGGCAGTATAACGTAGAGAATGAACTACAAGAGCAACGAGAGGCACTAGAAGAAAATGCTAAAATGGCAGCGTCGTTTTTCACCGTACTCAAATCTAAAGCTACCGTGAAAGCTTGTATAATTTCTTATGGCCTCGTGTTCTTTCAACAGCTATGTGGTATAAACGCTATTTCATTTTATGCCAGCGGTATTTTTGAAAGGACTGGTGTTGATTTAGATCCTAATGTTGCCACTATTATTATAGGTGTGATACAAATACTAGCTGGGCTTATGAACACATTCACTGTAGACTATTTAGGTAGGAAAATATTGTTGATAGGGTCTGCCATATTTATGGTTGTAGGAATGTTTGCTCTTGGTTTATACTTCTACCTTTATGACCATAAGAATGATGTTAGTTCGATTGGATGGTTACCTTTATTATCTATATGTATCTTCATTATTGCATTTAATATTGGCTTCGGACCTGCTCCATGGATTGTTCTTGGTGAAGTTTTTGCACCGGAAGTAAGAGGCGTAGCTGCAAGTAGTGCTGTGCTGTTGACCTGGTTCTTCACTTTTTTTGTAACTAAATTCTTCAGTAATTTAAACAGCGCTATGGGCACTGGTCCTACATTTTGGTTCTTTGGTGCAATGAGTGCTATTGCAGTTGTCTTTGTATGTTTTGTAGTTCCTGAAACAAAAGGCAAGTCTTTGATAGACATTCAGAAAGATCTGAAAAATTCATGAGTATCGTTAAACTTTGCGGATGAAATGTGAGTTAAAAATTTTAAATTATGTGAATGTATATGTGTAAAACGTTCAAATGAAGACAAAACTTTATACAATGTTTATAGAATTAATGATACATTTTGTTTGTTTTAGTAGATTAATGTAAAAACGTGTTTTTCCATTTATGTATCTGATTTAGACGTTAAAATCTGTTACTCAATGAGTGTAATCTAAAATTAGATTTGTAAAGCACTTGTACAGTTTACATAGACAATGTTAGTTTAAATATTAATAAGCGAAAGTGTAAAAATATTTCTATAAAATTTTCAATAATGTGCGCGGGAATAGTTATAAGTTTTGTAATTTGTGATCCTCTTTTGTTCTTTTTTGCGATACTTACTTTGTTTATGTAATGTGCGTTGTATTATAATGAAACATTTCACTGTTGTAATAAATGTACATGAACATTTTGTACAATTAATTATGTTCTTCTCATGTTTCTTATTCACTTTATAGTCTCACCAAAATTTTCTTGTGTGAAATCCACTTTTTAACACTTTAGACTCAACTATTTCCTCTGAACACTCCAAATACTAAAATAGAAACGCTGAAAATAGAAAGTTAAATTAATTATAATTATTTTTTAAAATTCTACAGATGATAATTGTATAAAATCTGAGATAACTAACTAAACGTAAAATAAGAATAATAATGTGAGGAAGTATTCTCACCACAATAGGATATTTTCTGCCCAACTCCGATGCATCTAACATAGCCGTCGTCCATTTGTAATAATAATAAATCGAGTACACGCGGCATATCAAATATGGAGCGCAAACTGTTTTCTTCTAAATCGCACTAAATATCTATGTTACTTCTCTCCTTTCTCTATGGATGACTTTTATCGAATTAATTAGCGTTTATATAATTCGTAAGTCACAGTGAAATATATCGGTGAAAAGCTCGTTGCTTCTAATCTTATCGAAACTTATCACATTGCGCAATGTGTAGTAACTAATTAATGATAGATTATAGCACTATTGAATCCTTTTAATCTATTTTTTGTAGACAAATATTGTAGTGATAACTATGTGACGTAATACACTTCATGCATTTTGAATTAATGTAAAGATCAAAATTTGGCAGTGTAAGTATTTGAGACGATTGATTTTTATGAAGATAGCTGAACATAAGTTACAGAATTTAAGATATTAAATTTATCTGGGGGTTTGTTTATACCATTGTATACACGAAGAAGGATAAATGTTATAAAGAAGGAGCATCTAGTATAAAAGGTTGTCAAGCAGTAAGGGAGCGACTAAAAAATATTTCTAAAACTGAAAAATTCAGATGAAGTTATTTCTATTATTGCAAAATTACTATTTTTATTATAATATTCACAAGATTTTTAAATTTACTAGTAACGATGCTAATTTTTGTTAACCGCGGTGAGTTATATTAGTAGAGAATAAATATCAGTACCCCTGTATTATGGCAGTCTGTTATACTAATATTTTAGTTTTACTGACGAGGCAATAAAACAGCGGGTAACGATACCGATACATGAAAGATTACTGTACTTGTTTTTAAATTCTGATCGAAACTTCAGAAAACGTCATTCTCCGTTATTAACCAAATTTTACAAATAAATTCCTTTTTTGCAAAATGAAATATCTGTGAGAATGGTTTTTGACGACTTGAAAGAAAATTTTTTGCCATATTTATGTCATTCCCTGTCGCATCGACGAAATACAGTGTAGCTGCGAACTGTTCTGAACACATAACGCATCTTCGGGCCCACGGAATATATTGCAAACCGTATAAAATGAATACGAATAAATATATAATAAATATATAACACATTAATCAATAAAATCAATATTAATTGAATTTTACCAAAATGGAATAGGTGGCGCCATCTCTGCGGCGAACATGGTGAACTACACACTTTTGAAACTGTGGTTTAATTAATTCCCATTTTCTACCGCTAGATGGCGGTACATAAGACAGAAATGTGATGATCATCAGCGTCGTTGATCAAGAAGAGTTCTGTTTTTATTTATGAAAAAATGATTAATGTTTAAAACTATCGTCGTTTGACCGTATTCAATCTTATTTAAAACACAAAATCGTTTACTACTCATTCTGTAATCAAAACATAATGCAAGAAAATGTATCAAAATAAATTTCAGAATCAATTCCAATAAAATTAGTTATTTTTGTGAAGCTATTAATTAATTGATTATTTCGATTAATATTTTGTCCCAATATAGGATCACTAACAAATTTTTCTCAAATAAATACATCTTTTAAAAGCAAGCTTGTTTATTTTGTAAACAATGATTTTGTTACACTTTGTAGATTTAGATGGATATTGTATTTAAAGATGTTAAAGTTATACGTATTTAAAGTATACGCGTGTTTAATCCATGCGCCTTTAATGCGCGATTGCAGAAAACTCGAATGATGCAGTCTTCGTTCCTGAAAAAAGATATCATAAAATGTTAAACAATAATAAATAAAGTTATGACTTAAATGCTAATCGTAGCTCTTAGCTCGATATCATTTTCTAAAGATTATTTTTTAAGACATTTTTAGAAAACAATACCGATTATCAGGTCACACCACGTGGAGGCGGCTACGTTTGTGACTCACCCTAACTCCAAATCCCTACCACCCTCCAATTGCAACCTCATTTATCGGAAGGATAAATGAGTTCTGACTCTACTTAGCCCGTTCGCTCGCAAAAATATACAAGTTTTTTACCATAGTATAGCAAAGAACTTGTATCGCACGCACGCACGCTACATCTTAAAATTTAATCTGCTCATGGGATCCCACACTCACACTCATACTTATTCTAAACGCGGCATGCGTACCTCTCATTCTAAGATTGAACTCATATGATCTACAGTGACGTACAAAAAAGCAAGGAGAAGAAAAGAAAGTTAGAAGAACTTTCTATTTAAAAAAAATGAAAGTTAGAAGAACTTTCTACTAAAAGGTGGATCAGTATTTTTCGCCAAGTGAATCTTGCCTTCATGGGTCAAAGGGTAGTCGCATAGTGGCTTACGTGAACCACGAGACAGAGATGAACCGAAAATACTGGCAAGAACGAGTGACACATCCGCGGAGGGTTTCCCATTTTTCCCCGCTTGCGTTTGAAGCAAGGCTGACCGCAGAGAGGAAACCCCTGCCTTGAGGCGGCAGATCGAAATGGTACATCAATCGATCGGCCCCGCAGAGATGTGTCCCTGGCGCTACACCGGCACTTGCAGCTCACCTCTGCCGCGTGTTCACAGCGCTATGAACCCCCAATGATCCACTTGGGTTCGGAACGATTGACAAAAAATAACTGGGTATACTACAAGCTAACGCGTACAAAGTTTGAGGATTGTGAAGATGAGTGCAAGTTAGAATGAGGGGCACTTACAGGGACTCACCCGCCCGCCCACGAGCATACAACGCTTAATCGACTTAAAACTAACGCATGCATCCCTCGATAATCCCTCGATGATCCCTGGATGATCCCACGATGATCGATGTCTTCAATCTTCGTGTAAAATATTCACACATGATATGAAAGTACCCTTTAACCCTTATTAAAAACCAATCACATAACAAAATAATATAATGGAAGAAATAAAATAAAGAATAGTTTTGAAAATTTTAGAGCAAGATATAAAATAGCAAAGAGTCTTGAAAACTTTGAAACAAGAATTAAAACAGAGCAAAGACTTGAAAACTTCGGAGCAAGAAATAAAATAGAGAAAAGACTTGAAAATTTCGGTACGAGGAATAAAATAGAGAAGCGACTTGAAACCTTTGCACCAAGAAATAAAATAGAGAAGACTTGAAAACTTCCAAGCAAGGAATAAAATAGAAAGAAGTCCTGAAATCATTGAAATAAAAAATAAAGTCATTTAGAACCTGAAAAACTCAAAGTAAATAGGTCCTGTATCCTGTACTCACATTTTCACACACTCACGCATACTACAATATTTATAACAAAAGTCCTAAATGTGCCTTTCGTTCTAAAATTGCACTCGTATAATTTAAAACTTTGTAAAGAAAAGGGTTACAGAAGAAAGTTGGAAGAATTTTGTTTTAAGTTTGCAATTGACAATAAAAATGATAGGTTATTACTACTAATCTACTAATCTAATATGTAATAAGCTAAAAAATTGTAAAGATGAGTGCAAGTTAGAACAAAAGGCACAATTTGCGCAAGCTTTTCGCCACATGTGGCGAAAAACCTGCGCCCGAGCCCACCCTTCCTCCCACAAGCTCGGAATCAACATGAAACATAATACACTCAATATAAACTAATGCACTGAACATAACTTACTAAAAATAAAGCCTGAAACATACAAATACAATTAAGACACATATGAATAAATAAATTACTTACATAAAATTAAAACCTGAAACATAGAAAAATAATTCAGACAAAATATAAATCATTAAAATTTACTTACATAAAAAAAACCTGAAACATATAAAAATAATTAAGACAAACTCTCACTCATACTTTAATACATATTCTAAATGCCCTACGTGTACCTCTTATTCTAAAATTGCACTCTCATATAAAACTTTGTAAAGAAACTTTGTAAATGAAACTTTGTAAAGAAGACTTTGTAAAGAAACTTTGTAAAAAAAGGAGAAAGGAAGAAAGTTCTAAGAACTTTCTTAGAAGTTTGAAGAAATTAAGAAAATGGGGGTAAACTATTACTATGCAAATCTAATATGTAAGTTAAAAATTGTGATAAAGAGGAGTGCAATCTAGAATAAGAGGTACTTATAATTTGTGCAAGTTTTTCGCCACAAATTGTGACGAAAAACCTGCGTCCGAGCCCACCCTTCTTCCCACAAGCTCGGAATTAATGTAAAATTAATGCACTGAACAGAACTTCTCATCTTCAATAAAAAATTAAATCCTGAAACAGACAAAATTTTATTAACACAGAAATTTGAGAACAGAGAACTTACCAAGAATTAAATTCTGAAACATACAAAAATTTATTAACCTACACAATTGTAGGAGAAGAAGTGAAACGACACTATCAAGAAAGAGAAAACACAATAATCTTCAATAAAAAATCAATTCCTGAAACAGAAAAGAGTAATTAACATATAAAATTGAGGAATATTAAAATCGCGAAGGGATATACAAATATCGAATCTCGAAATATAATCGCGAAGGGATACTAAAATCTCCAATGTCGTAATAAAATCGCGAAGGGATACGAAAATCTCTAATTTCGTAATGTAATCGCGAAGGAATACAAAAATGTCTAATCTTAAAATTTAATCGCGAATGTATAAAAATCTCGAATCGCGAAGGGGCATGCAAATCTCTAATCTCAAAATTTAATCGCGAAGTTATACAAAAATCTCTAATCTTGAACTTTAATAGGGGAGGGTATAAAAATTTCGAATCGCGAAGGGACACAAAATCGCGAGTGGCTATGCTCGTGAAAATTCGAGCAAATCGCGACGATACTTTCCGTATCGTCCAAAAAATACCTGTAAAACACAAGAAAATAATAGCGAGCATAGTGACAGAATGACTCTCTATCCTGAGATGGACAGCCATTGATAGTTCCCCTCTTCTTTGGCAATTTTGCCGGGGCTCTTCGGCATATAGCTTCTTCTTTCTCCGACACAGCTTCACAACAGTCATTCGCGAATTTTTACAGTAATTCTTAGTTTTCAATTACATAAATTCTCAATTTCGCTATCAATCTCCATAAACAGATAGCAGACAGTTTTATAAGAATAAAATTGCACCACTATCCATTTATTTCGATCAATAACAAAAACGAAATTTTATGTAATATGTAATAAGTTAGTTTGGTAAAAAAAATAATTACTCAAAATGAAAATACGACCAACGATTTTTAGAATACGTTGTCCATAAAAGAATGTCCGAATATTTTATGTCACTTCACTGTACAGTATACTTCATTTTTGAAGTCGGGTCTAGAACCCGAATTACAAACTAAAAAGCCTGGCTTGAACGAACAATCGAGTTCAAGAGATATTAAATATATTCATATTTAATATTTTTCTCTTCTCGATTTTTCGTGAACCCCCCAAATGCAAGCATTTCACGTATGAGAGAGGAGGACAGAGAAACATGAAAGCTTGCTCTGGCTTTACCTACTTAAAAATAACTCATTCACACCAGAAGTAAGCTACCTGCCTGCCTATCGCTATATTTAAAAAATTGCAAAGTCCATTCTCACAAAAACACACTTCACGATTCTCACACATACCACCCGGGTGCAAAATGCCTATTTCTAGGGAATACGTCCCGGGACGTCTCCGACAACCGAGTTCAATACAACATTCACACTCTAAGTTCATACCTTTTTGCTGAAAACGATCGACAATTGACAGTGAACGAACATATTTCATTTTCGTACTCTTTCGAATATTCAGTGTAATATGTACATGTAATGATTTTAACTACTAATACAATTTTCTAACTTATTCATTTTATAAAATTTTCAAATGACTCGACTTGCATTTTGTGTGCATCTTCAAATGACTCGACTTGCATTTTGTATGCATTTTTAAACGACTCGACTTGCATTTTGTATGCATCTTCAAATGACTCGACTTGCATTTCGTATGCATTTTCAAATAGAATTTTACAAAATTTAAAAAATAAATCTATAGTTTAATCGACACAAGATCCGCGACCTAACCACACACACACTTGTGTAACTTGTGTCGATAATTCACTGTCAGTTTATCGATCGCCAAAACATCTTAAAACTAAACCGTGTCCACCTGCCCTAACTCA